TCGCAAGGACCCAACAATCTGGTGCAGCATAGAGGGTGAGACATGATTTTGGTCTCCAGGAGTATGTGGAAACCGTCAGTCGGCTATTTGCTGACTGCGACAAGGACAATTCAGGAGACTCGCAGCATAGTGCAGGGATGTTAATATTGATTTGCGGCAGGAATGTAAACCATTTGGGGTCACGGATGCTTACAGACAGGGTTCTTCCTGGCTGGATCGTGAAGCAATGTTGTTGACCTTTCCAAGCATGCAGTTAGCCAAGGAGCTGTGGATTGGGAGGACGGGAGCCTGCAAGTTGCGCTTGGAAATTGCTGTTTTTCCCGGCATCCCTCATGAATTCCCAGGTTGCATCCAGTTTCCTGTGGCCGGTGGAAGGGAAGATGGGGGCATGGGAGGGGTGGCAAGAAGGCTGGAGCTTGGTGCCAAACGCTTGGGTCAGAGCTCAGCATGATCATTTCGGCTCAAGTGGCCCAGAATGTGCATGTGGGCATAGGTGTCATGGCGCCGCACCAGGCACGGCAAGCGGGCATTCCTTAAAACTGCGACAGTTGGCCTTGCAGACCGCCTGGTTTGGAGCAATGACAGGGAGCAAGGGCCTAAGAGGCAAGTCAAAATCATCCTCCAACGCGTCTTCGGGGTCCCAGGGCCACCGGCGCTTGAACTCCCGCAAAGCTGCGTCGGCCCCACGCCGACCACAATCTCAGCCTGCGGCAGTTGCTCCCTTGCACCAATGCAAGCTGGCGCCCCACCACGTCCGCAGCGCGATGATCTGGACGGATCCAAAAATGCAGGCTTTGCGAAGGTTTGTTGAATCATCAGCACCGCCTGCACCAGAATTGGTGCCAGACACCGAAAGTGTGGTAGGGAGTCTTGGCGACGATCTCAGCATCGATGCTGATTTCGAGTCTGGCTCAGAGACTGCGCCAATGTCACCGAGCCGCCGCACCTCTGCGTGTAGCCGCAGGACATCCTGCAGCCGCCGCATGTCTGCGTTGAGCAGGAGGACTGGCACCAGCAGCCGCCGGGGGTCTGCCACGAGCTTGGCAGCCAGCCGGCGCCAATCCATGGAGACGGATGGATCCAAATCGGTGGTTTTTAGTGACCTACCTCGGCAAAACACCCAGACAACAGCGACAGATGAGGGGAAGAGGCGAAGGCCATCTTCTGCGGGTGCTATTGTCCAAAGCCAACAGTACTCGAAAGAGCGCACTTGGGGAGTGGATGAAGTGAACCGGCGAACCAAGGCCCTGGCCAGAGAGGCGATGCAGCGGCCATCGCAAACGCAGGGCTTGGTACGGCCAGCATCAGCAAGCAACGCAGATGACTACAGGCGCAGCTTCCTCTACCCGGGCAACGCTGAGCATCAAGCAGCTGAAGCCCGCAGGGAAAAGCTCCGGGCCTTTGACACGAAGTCTCCGCAGCAGAACTTCCTGAAGCTGGCCGGGCACTCATTGCAGAAGCTCTTCGTGGACTTCGACCTGGCCCACAACTCTGGGGGTGAAGCTCAGACCCACAAGAACCGCTGCGCTCACGCCGACCGGGTGGTGGATTGGTTTGGCCGCCATGTCTTGGGCAGGGAGCCTCCACCGGACCCCAAGCCCACAGTCCCTGCCTGGATCTTTCTGAGGGACGACGAGAAGCCTCCCCCGGGCTCGTTGAGGCCCCGGAGCGCCCTGACTAGGAGCTCCATCCACTTCAGCCAGGTTGGCCATGGGCATGGCCTTCCTCCCTCACTGTGCAAATCCGTGTCAGTGCCGTGCTTCTGAGATTTCTGAGATCTGATCTGCGAAGGGGCTGAATGATTAGCATATTCTTTACCTAAATTTAGTCGTCATGATACCCCCCCAACCCGCCGGTCTAGTGATTTAGCCTCGTATCGCCTTCCCGCGCTTGCGTGAAGAAGCGCGAGCAAAGCCCTTGGCGTTGGGAAGTGGCTCCTTTTTGAGCGTTTGGCTCCTGGGGCCTGGCGTGCATGAGTTCCACGTTTTGCCTCGTTTCACCTACATTGCGGTTTTCCTGGTCCAGCATTGGAGCATCCGCAGGCAACTGCAGAGAAAGAGCTTCATGCTTCATGGTCTTTGTTTGGGTTTCTTGTAGTTCTTGTTGGTCATGGTTGGTCATCAGGTTTCGGTCATGGACTCATGGTCCACGTGGTGAAGTCGGCAATTCCAATCCCAGGAGTTCCAAGAATGTGCGGAAGACCTGCGGTTCCAGACATGCTTCAAGAAGCTTGGGCTACTCGGCAGGTTGGGCCAGTGTGAGACCTCGTACCCCCCAAAACCATTGCTGACCAGTGGTCGGGAAGAGCAGCTATTTTATGACCCTCTGCCCTCCATTGGAAGAAGGCCGCTAGGCCCCCAAGCTCTGTGGGTATGCTGACTGACATGAAAGAGAGCTTTTCTCACGCACTCAGACCTGACTGCAAGGATTGTCCTGGACACGGAGGCTGATCTGCGGAATGTGTTTCAAATGCGGCGTGGCAGAAGGAAGGTCGAGTTGTCGGAATACATGCACCTGCGGACCCACTGTCAGGGTTGCCTTCAATTTGAAACGTGAGGGCCAAATCAAGTTGCCAAGGCTGGACTTTCAGAACAACGGCAGCGTTTCAGTGGAGGCCGGCGTGAACTTTGATTTGCTTATCCCAGAGGCCCTTCTCCCACCCACCCTCTGCAAAGAGAACTTAAATAATGATTCGGGCCGATTCGTGTTAACTGTTTGGCTGCGTCTTCAACGCTGAGAGCTTCCGTGCACAAAGGGGACGCAGCTTGCAAGTCCAACTCGCCCCAGTTGCCTAGGAGTTCGCTATTGGAATCCAGATGTTCAGCGGCGGGGCAAAGAGCATTGACGTGGCCAGGCCTCGTCCCCCCCCCCCCCCCCCCCGCGGGGCCCCGGAGCTTGCAATTGCAAGGCTTGCAGACTTAAAACAGGTGGCGCGTGAGAATCAGAACCCCCCCCAAATTGCAGGCATACTCCGAGAGCGAGAGACGTGCCGCGTGCCAGGCTGATGTTTGAGGTTGCCACGATCAAGAAGTACATGACCGATATGTATGGCGTCACGGCCTCAGAAACTTTCTGATTCGCGGAATCGCCTGGACTGGGGCATCGAGCTTCATGTGGTAGTCAGTTGCCTGCCATGCCACGGAGTTGCCACGATCCATGCAGATACACAGTGAGCCTTGCATGTGACATTCATCATGAAAGGGTAGGTTGCGAACGCACGGACCAAGTCTGGCTTTGAGCTTGTTCATCTCATTTGAGCTTGGGGACCAACTGTGCGGAGATTGCCACAGCGTGCGCGATACTTAGACAAGCTTGGGAAACTGCCCTTTGAAAACAGATCTGCAGTAGTGGACAAGATGCTAATTTGGGGCTATGCAGCGCCCAGGTCAGGGAAAATAAGCAGCAACCCTGGCTGGCCTGCTTATAAACTGACTGCAAGTAAGGCCACGGCCAGAACTCCAGCATATTTGCGCTGCTGAAGTCACTGAAATGCTTTGTGTTTAATGTCATGTTTTGCTTTGTTCGACGCGTGTGAGATTGAGGCAAATACGGGTAGCCGTTAGCAATCCGCTCTCGAGTGCTGATTTCTTATCCTTTGAGCGACCGACCAATTGTCCAACAACTGAATATGTATTGATGCGTTTAGACTACCCTAAAAAAGAGAGATGGCCTCCAAATTAGCAAGATCAGATCGAAATAGTTTTGTAGAAAACCATGCGACGAGATAAACCGAGATCAAGTCTTAGTCACTGCTTTGCGTGCAGCCGGCTTCGGCACGCCGTACCGCACTTGCACCGACAAAGTGCGATTTCTGAGCTGGCGCTGTCAAAGCGCGCTTCGCATATTCACTTATCCTTCGCGCGCTACGCTTGTACGGAAAAGTTGTGCTTTTTGAGCCGGCCGTCAAAGAGTGCTTGGCATAATACGCTTGCGCGCTGAAGGGAAGCGTAGAAAGCAAGCAGCGCTGGAGAACGAGATGGCCCCACGTTGATATGCTGCGATTCTTGCAAAACTAGCCTAAACTTCTAAACGAGTCCAAAGCGAGCTCTCCGTTCCTCTACTCTCTGTCTGGCCAAAGGAAGCTTCGTTTTTCGTGGGCGGGTGCCCTTTTTTTTTGTGGCCCGAACTGTAGGGTCGCAAATCGCAGATGTCGACGAAATGTCCCGAGGATTTTGCTTTTTTGGTCGCAGATGTAGTGAAGCTTGTTTTTTTGCAAGTTGTCACTTGCGGCGGTGGACGGTGCCATGTGGATGGGGTCTAGCGAGTGTCCTTTTAGGCGGAATGTCGGTTGGTGTCATGTGGAGTGGTGGACGAACATGCCAAGCCACGTGCGTGACTTGGTGCCATGTGGGCCCTCGCAAGCTTTAAAACACGAGTTTTGTAAGGTGGCAGATGACGTGGCACCGGCGGAAAGTCGTTGTAGGGTCGCCGATGACGCGGGCGCCCTTTTTTTCACTCGTTAGGTGCAGCGAATAGCACTGCCCATTTGGCTGGCCCGGAGTTTGGACGGGGTAAGGTCCCGGCTTCTTGTTATTTCTAGGGTTTTCTCTGTTGATTAGTTATCCGCAAAGGCACCCTGCAAGGGGAAAACGCGGGGGCTGGGCCTCACGCAGACGGGAGTTGCTTTGACGCTGGCCGTATTGAGCAGCGACCGGGCTTCATCGACTGGCTGCAAGACTCACAGGTCGAACACCTTTGTGCCAGGTGCAAACTCTTCGGCTGCACCGGCTTCCTCACCGCCGGGGTGTGCCCAAGCCTCTTCGAAAAGGGCGGTAGGGGTTAACTTCGAGACCCCGGCGCGGCCGGACCACGACCTCTCACCCGCGCAACGTTTATCAACACGAGTCTCCGGGTAGCGCAGGTACCAGGATTATAGCGGTTTGTCCGTTACGTGTCTCTGCAGCCGAGGTCACACTGCGTGCCACACTTACAGTGACTTACAGCTGCGGCCATTGAATTCGCGGAATTGCGACCAAATGTAAGCTGCTGATGAAGGCTTTATGGGTCGGTAGACTCGCCTGCCCTGACATCATCAAGCCCATAGGTGACCGTGCGGCTTGCGTCCAAAGTTGTCTCGTAATAAGGATAAGCAATTGGCGAGGTTAGTTTCTTATAGGCGCGTAGCCTCTCTGGCCTTGTGTGCTGACGCCGATTTTGCCGGCGAGAAAGACGAAAAGGCAGGGTATCTTGAAACACCCACTTCCGTTAGGCTTGGCTAATCAGGCACGCTGGCAAGGCAGAAGTTGTTGCTCGGCCGTCCTTTGGAACTGGTCGTGCGTGAGGATAAGGCCGCCATCCTAGTTTGATGACCAGATGAGCTCAGACGAGAGGTTTCAAAGGCGCCAACACACTCAAGCATCAAAGGCAACTCAGCATAAAGACTCATTTGAACACATGGACTCACAACAATAGCAAGCGCCAAACAGCACGAAGCAACCACAAAGGACGGTTACATGATGCAGCCGGCCTCTGACGTCACCACGCGCGGCGAAGCTGGTGGTTCCGGCCAATGTCGCTGTTTTCCTTGACAAACTTGAGGAGGCGGTCGCTGTCGGCTAAGCTCTGCAGCACTCTCCTCAAGGAGACGCAACAAATAGATAGAAAACACCACAAATTTGCATCCCGCCTCCCATTTTTTTCCTTTTGAGTTTGTTCTCAGCCAGCGCTTGTTGATGGACCACTGAAGGTTTGGTCCCCAGCCAAACCCCGGCCAGAAAACTCACAAGAGACTCAGATAAAAACTTGAAAGATCAGAAAATATTCAAAGAACTCAAATTGGGGGGGAAGTGCAAACGTGCGTGTATCTTCTGACAGTTTGTGTTTGTTCTGGGTATGTGTTGTGTTTTCTACATGGAAAACTGCACGTTTCCTCCCCAACCAGCCGCCTGCCATAACATTCAAACTCAGACATAACTCCACACTCCTGCAATTCAGCTAGGCACAAGAACGCATTTCCCAGAAAAGATTGAAGATATCCGCAGCTGTCACACCAAGTTAAAGAAGTGACGGCAGAAGCTCAACGCGCAAAGAAGGTACCAAGACCGACAGTACATAACCGGAGGGGGGCGGTGAATTATTGCAACCCCTATGCCCCGGAAGCGTCTTGATGCCTGGTTTCTTGTTGCCCCGTGGGGCCATTGGTTCTTGTCGAGTTGGTTAGTGTTCATTTTGAACTGGGGGGGCGGACGAGCATCTTTAATTGCGGATTTAACAGTAGCATTGGCTGAAAGTGGGCTGGAAGAAAGGGACGTTTTAATTTTGGGGGCTGATCATTCACATGATGACGTTACCCTGAAGACTCACGAGGGGATTTTGAACCTGACATGGGCATCGAGCTTCCTCCCATGCCGAGGCACTGGTGGGCCCTGTCGCGAAGGAGGACAAGAATTCTTCCATGAATTTCTCTGTCAACGCGGAGACAGCAGAGGCACAAGCTTGGGGGCCTCAGGCGGGTTGCGAGCAGACCGCCCTGAGGTGATTGAGCAGGCAAAAGCTGCGCAAGGCCAGCAACGCTTCAGCGGTGGCCTGGAAAAGAAGCCTTTTATGGGGCTCAGTTAGGACCAAAAGTGCAAGCGTGCTCAAGTCCCGGCTAAGGCATTGTTCCAGCAGTTCGGCTGCACTCTGGCCACGGCACGGGTTCATGACCTCACGGTTGATAGCTGCAACTAGAAAGCTTGATAGACTTAGACTCACCCAAACACTCGCACAGTGCACTGAGAGACCGAGGCGCTCACCTGAAGTGGTTGGGCGATGTTGGGCGTTTCCTGTGACACATTAGGACCACGAGCCGCAGGGCTGAATCCCAGCTGCCTGTGGCCAGCGCGAAGAACGTTCGAAGAACTTCATGTAATTTCCTTACTTGGCCCAGTAATTACTGGGTCGGAACATGCTGAGTTTTTTTTCCAGTGGTCCAGCCTCGGCCTGAAGGGCGCGGCTCGGTTCCAGATGGCAACCTGACTGTGCTTTCGTGAAACATGGAATGGAGACATGAGCTTGCAGTTGCTTGGACGCTACACGTAGCGCACTCCCTTCCAAAATGCCTAATGCATGGGCTTGACGGTTCAGTTTGTCACGTGGCACGATCGCTCAAACTTGCTCAGCAGGAGTAACTAAGGATGTCAACGAGAGTGCTTGTTGAGCCTCTGACAGCCCAGTGGCCCAGTGCCTTTTCAAGCTGTTTGGAGACCAGGAACCAATCCTTGAAAAGCCTCCAGACTAGTCCTTATCAAAGAAGTTCGGGTCCTCTCAAACCTGCCAGCCTTTTCGCAGTTTAGTCCCTTTTGGGGTGCTTTCAAGTCGTCACTCCCCCACAAGAGTTTGTAACGCCTCTTCCGCGGTCGGGAGTGCCCAAAGCATTTGGTCTACTCTTTGGTGGTTTCGTGCCCCAAAAGGTTCGACAAGGGCTCAGCCTCATGTACCTGACGGTTTGATTCGTTCAACCTTCGGTGCAGCCATTGGCTGCCCACTGCGCAGGCATTTAGTGAAAGTCCTGAGTTGTAGTTTCTGCACAGCCTCATTCACGCCCACCTGGTTGAGCAGTTGCATGTTGTTGCCATACCAGCAGCGATGCCATACAATGGCGCAGGCACACTTGCAGCTCCCTGACTCGTGTTGATTCAGCGCAGAATTGTTGGGTTCAAAGCCGAGCCAATCCAGAGCCTAGCGAGCCGAAGCCGGTGAATTTGGGCTTTGGCTTGGAGCCATGCGCGGCTGATCGCATCCTGGCCTCGATTTAGCACCCCGTTGAGGTTGTGGTGGAAATTAACTTATGCATGCTCTGAACCTCAAGGCATGCGAGGAGGATTGCTTCAGACCGATGCTTGGCTCCAACAAGACGCGTACGCAGTGATAGCAACTGGGGGTTTGAAGAAATGTGGTTTGAGAATGTTGTTCCACGGCAGAAGCTATGTATGGTCTAATTATCACATGCATGCTGCACGAGGCTGTGTCGCTATTGGATTTGCATTCCGCGCCGGACAGTCATGCAGACTTCCTGTTTCAGAAGGACGCATCGACTTCAGGGGTGGAGGATGTCCATTTTTTGGTTCTTCGTATTCGTGATGTGGCCATGGGGCATAACCTGTGACTCCATTTTGGGGTGGATGACAACCATAGCCATGTGCTTGCTGCTTCACGGCGCGTTGCAGGACCTGTGCCTGCACCGCGGTCCCAAGGTGCCGGCCATCCCGGCGCCGAGCCTCGGTGATTCGAGTCCGCGAGTCCGCGAGTCCGCGAGGCGCTGACGAGCTTCGAAGCCGAGAGCGAAGCGGCGAAGGCGCAGGAAGAGCTGGACGCGGAAGCCGACGGGGCCCCGGATGGATCTCTGGATGAAACCACTCCCCACACACTACACAGAGTGGTGCTAGGCGTTCTCTATGGATGCTTATGGGGCCGGGCATGCTTACAGTGATCATATCATGCGTCACACCACTCGTTATGAGATGAAGCCCCTGGCTGTGCTCCTCAACATCGTTCACTCATACATCAGTTACATCATCGAAACCGCCCCTAGAGTCAGGAACGTTGATCTAGCGCAGCCATGGCTGTTGCTCCTCTACTCTGATATCTGCTCTTTGTGCAGATGCCTCAGGATAGCGCAAGCCGCATGGCAGCTAAAGCGGATGAGGTGCCGCACTTAACGTTTTGCATGGCCAGTTCTTGAACGGCTTGCTACATTGAGGTGGTTGAGCGCTGGTGATTCACCACTTATTTTTTCTGTGTTCAGCCAGCCAGCTTGAAAAAGAAAGCAGCAAGTGACCAAAGAAACTAGCAACCTCAGCCAAGAAGCAGGCGCTTCTCTCAGAGCGCTATCCAATATTCGCTGGCAAAGGCTGACCGAAGTGCAGGAGATCCTGATGAAATAGCGCGGCAGGCGATTGTCTTGGCATCCAGTGCAGTGCTTGAGAGTTGCTGTTGATGAAGTGATGGCTGCTCATGTGCAGGAGCAGCATTTGCCGAAAAATGCAATCCCATCTCGCAACTTGGCGGATACTCTCGAGTGGGCATCCAGATTGCACACACGTGTGGCCTTCTGGTCGCAATGCTGAGCGCACCCCAAGACAAGTACAACGTGCACGGCCTATCCAAATCTGGGTGCAGTGTGCATGGCGTGCATTTCAGGTACGGATTGCCCAGCGTTTGAGTGCGAGAAATGCCCAGAGCCGCGTGCTGATCCCCCGATGCCAACATTCCTTGGTGTCTTCTGAGCGAGGTGTCCTTCTTGTCCGGTGTGCCCATCGTGCCCCCGCGGCAGCTTGGCGACAGCGTTGAGCAAGTAGGAAGCCCTGACAGTCTGGTGAGCTGCAAACCGGAGCCCAAGGCTACAAGCACCCGGATGGACCAGGCCAGTCTGGGCCTGCCTTGTCCCTCGCCTTTCTGAGCTGGCCAGGTGAGCCTCCGGTTGTGCAGGGCAAGCGCCTGGGGCAAACAGGAAGCCTTGGGAATTTTTCGTTGCGATCTGATTGAACGCCACGTGCTTTTTGCACAAGCGGCACTGCCGGCCATTTCAAAATACCAAGCACGGAGAGAGGCGCGCATGCTTGGTCCAGCAAGCTGCCGGCCAAGGATTGTTTGCAACAGCATGGCGAACAATTGCCCTTTCTGCTGCACCCTCAGACGCGCGCCGCCAAGCAGATGCCGGTTGAGACATGTTGCAACTGAGGTCCGGCCTGCGAGTGCCCAGAATGCCCGAAGAAGTGCGAGCCCTGCCTCAAGAGGCCGTGGATGCGCACGGTCCTGGCATGTCTTGGCGTGTAGCGGGCAGGCCTCCAAACGACCCCCCGACGGTGGTTCTGGGCCAGGATGGGGAGCCGCCTGCGCCCCAGAGGCTCGAGGCAAGGCCACGCTTATATAGGCCTCTCAGAGCGGGAGCCAAGGCATGCCACCAACGGAGGGCCGGAGAATCCGCTGGTGCAACCTGGCTGCGCATCGCAAGAACCTGTCTGTGGAGGAATGCTGCATTTGTTGTTTGATCTGAGGCAGGCCATCAATGATGATGTGAAAGCTCATGCTTAGAGTCGAGCTAGCAGCGGGCTGCGGAGAAAACTGGGTACCCACACATCGTATGAGAGCGGGCAATGTTATATTTGTCTTTACCAGTGTCATGATTTAATATCGCTAGTGCCCGAAGATAAACTTGCCACGTTGCAGTCCCAGTTCTTCCTTGTTTTTTGTCTGATCTTACCTGGTTAGTTTCGTGACAACTCCATAATCTCCAGCCCCCTTTGCTTGAAGGGCTGATTACCCCTCAAGCTGAGGATTTGATTGCATATCACGGTGCTTTGCCAGAGTCGAGCTTCAGAAGTGAACTGTCATGATTCTGTTCCAACAATGTCAAAGCATGTTTGCGAATTGGGCTTTTGTTTTTGATTGGGTTTCGAAATTAAAGCCATGGTGTTGAAAATTAAGAGAGCTGCAAAACAAACACGGACAGGAGGTCAACAAAGTTTTGGCAGAGTCAAGGCGAATTCTGGGAACTCGAACTCGAAAAGTCAAAGGCTTTTCTCAGAATACTGCCTGCCTGGCAAGTTTGTCTACCCTTCTGTCAGTACATACATGGGTCACACACATTCGTCTGTGCCATGTGTTTATCATCCATGTGTTTGTGAGGACCGAGCTCTCGCCGCGTTCACCCCGAGCAATCCGAGTGCAAATGTGCGCAAACAGGCGCAATGTCGTGCAAATGTGCCCCATATCAAAAACAACTGGAAGACGGGTGGCCCGAAAGCAGATTCCATGACGCACAGCCTGAATCGGTTCATTTTTTCCAACTATGCATTTCGCTGTCTATGCACTTCACTCTGTGCTTGCCCTACGCATGCCTTTATGCACTTCACTCTGTCTACTTTCCCTGTGCATGCCTCTATGCAGTTCACTGTCTACTTATGCATTTCACTGCCTACTTTCCCTGCGCATGCATCTATGCACTTTAATGTTGACCCAGGATTAATAAACCCGTCGCATTATTAGGGGGGTGTTCCTCCAAAAGTGATGAATCCCCACTAAAATGGGACCCCCCCTATTAATCAACCAGGGGTTTATTAATCCGGGGTTAACATTACTCTGTACTTGCCCTTTGCATGCCTCTCTGTCTACTCTGCGCATGCCTCTATGCATTTCACTGTCTACCTTGCCTGCGCATGCATCTATGCACTTCACTCTGTACTTGCCCTACGCATGCCTCTACGCATTTCACTGTCTACTCCGTGCGTGCCTCTTCAGTGTCTACTTCCCCGCATGCATTTGTGCACTGCACGCTGTGCTTGCCCCATGCATGCCTCTATGCATTGCATTGTCTACTTTTCTATGCATTTCGCTGTCTACTTTCCCCATGCCTCTATGCATTTCACTGTCTACTGTCCCTGCGTATGCCTCCATGCATTGCACTGTCTGCTTTCCATGTGCGTGCCTCCATGCAGTTCACTGTCTACTTTCCCTGCGCACGCATCTATGCACTTCACTCTGCACTTGCCCTATGCTTGCCTCTCTGCATTTCACTCTGTACTTGCCCTTTGCATGCCTTTATGCACTCCACGGTCCACTCTGCATGCCTCTATGCATTTCACTGTGCAATTTCTTCTACACATGCCTCTGCGTATGTCACTGTGCGCTTTCTCTACGCATGCCTCTATGCATTTCACTGTCTACTTTCCGACCTTGCAGCCGGAGCTGCGGGGATGTACTTCGTGTACTACTTTTGTTCTTAAAAGTTACGACTTTGAGCTGCGGGGACGTACTTCGCGCACTACTTTTGTACTTAGAAGTGGTCAGTTTTTGCACCTCGACCATGCCGACCCCGCAGAGGGTCGCGTGCGAACCACAAGAATCGCAAAAAAAATCTCCGCAGGGCCGCGTGCGAACCGCAAGAATGGCAAAAATAAACTCGCAGTTTTTGCACCTCGACCACGCCGATCCCTGCAGAAGGTCGCGCGCGAACCGCAAGAATCCCAAAATTTGCACAGCGACCACGCCGATCCCTGAGAGGGTCGCATATTCGCAGAGCGCGCTTGGTCTCACCGCGCTGCCTTAAGATACTTTTACGAAAGCGTGCAAGTTTCCTCGTGCAAGTTATGCTCGTGCGAGAAGGAACGCAAGACCGCTAAGCATTTCAGTGTGTACTTTCCCTACGCATGCCTCTATGCATTTCACTGCCTACTTTCCCTGCGCATGCCTCTATGCATGTCGCTGTCTACTTTTTTTGTGCATGCCTCTATGCATTTTACCGTCTTTCCCTGTGCAGGCATGCAGTTTTTGCAGGTGCTGTCTGAGGTGCTGCTGACGGCGTGGGCGAAGTTTTGCAAGATAGACGGCCGGGTGTTAGGGGGCAGTTTGGCGTGCTGGCGTTCTGTTTGCGGTGGTGGTGACGGTGGGTTTGCAGGCGCTGTCTGAGGTGCTGCTGACGGTGCGGGCGAAGTTTTGCAAGATAGACGGCCGGGTGCTAGGGGGCAGTTTGGGTGCTAGGGTGCTGTCTAAGGTGGTGGTGACGGAGCGCATGTTTGCGAGATTGACGGCCGGGTGCTGGGGGGCATGCAGTTTGCAGGTGCTGTTTCAGGTGCTGGCGGCGCTGTGGGCGAAGTTTTGCAAGATTGACAGGTCCTACAAGTCTAAATACAAGAAATAGGAAAATCATGCAGGGGGGCACCCATGGATCCAGACAACCTTACAGCTTACAGAATTGTGTCACGCCCCCTTCCTTGGTGGTTACTCCGAGCAAAAAATGCAAGATCCAAATCTCGAAAAAGTAGTTAAAACACAGAGAAGCAGTGGCACCAGGGGGGGTGTATACACATGAACACACACACACATAAAATCAACATGCCAACGGACCCCTAAGAATTGTGGGTCGATCTTTTTTTGTGCCAATGGTTGCTTCATATAGGACTAGCTGTTATCGCCGCGTAACTTTGTTCGGCACCCGTTGGTCGAGAAGGTAGTCTGGCAAGGGCCTTTTATGAACATGTTCCACAAATGTTTGATATTTGGTTGGCATTAAAGGAAGCTGGCAACGGCAACGCAAATTGGTGGCAAGGGTTGACTTTACGCTTTCAGGAAACGGTTTGGCAGCGCCATTGGCTGATGTTTGAAGTTGTTTTTTGGAGCAGGTGGTAAATATCCTTTTCTTAATTAATGAATTACAAAGCAGAAAACAAAAACATAAATACATGGCAAACAACTGAATTCCCTACCGAATGGGCCAGGTAACCATGTCCAACTGCAAAGGAACTGCAGCACCAAGGTCTTGTAAAAGGGCCTTTGTACCAAATGTATCACAGTGGGCCGGGCGGAAGCTTGCGCATTTTAAACCCGCAACTATAGCCCGTGAACGCCTGCTTGTAACATTTCTCAAAAAACAGTGATCCTGTTGCAGTTGAAGCGGCCAGGCGAAGCAAGAACTGATCACGAGTAACGCCCACTTATGAGGAAGACATTGACCCTGACAACAGCCAAACAACCCTGCCAGGCGGGAGAAAATTACAAATCTTGCTTGTGTGAAGCGAAAGTAGATCCAATCTCCAACCCCAACCCAGAACACCCGACCCAACGTTCCCTTGTTTAAAATTGCTCGCGCAAAGGCGTATCTCCAAAGGGGAAGGTTCTTAGCACGTGCGAGAGGGCTCGGTAAGAAGATTCTTCTTCCAACGCGGACGGTGCGGTTGAATTGCGGCCCTCTGCGAAGATCGGCGTGGTCGATGTCTTTTTAACACTTTCTGAGATTCCCGCGCGACACTCTGTGGGGATCGGGGTTGTCGATGTCAAACAATTGAGGATTTTTCTACTTCTGCCGCGTGCAGATGACCCGGGGGTCCGCGTGACCAATGTCCGCAACAATCAACCGGGAACTTTTGACGGTTTCTCTGACCCTGCAAAGATCGGAGTGGTCGATGTCAAGAAGCTGAAGACTCTTTACGATTTCCGATCATCTGCGAGGGTCGGCGCGGTCGATGTCGAAAAACAGGATTTTCTGCGTTGCAGTCCGCGCGCGACTGCGTGGTTGTGAGGAGGAAACACGTTGGGAATAATCCTTGAACCCCAGCGGAATTCTACTGGCATGGTGGCACCAGCGTCGAAAGACACATGTGTCCGCACTCCGAACGCGTGCGAACACACGCCAAACGATTCTGAACACGAGGCCGCTGGCCTCCTTGTACGGAACATGCTGGCATCGCTGCGCAGCGCGAACAGGGGCGCCCGCGCTCCCGGAACGCCCGGAAAACAGGGGCGCGCGCAGGACACACAGAAGCACACACACACACACACGCACGCGCGCACGCACACACGCGCACAAACGCGCACAAACGCGGAAACAAACACATAAGAAAACGCACACACACACACACGCACCACACATCACAACACAACGCAACACAACGCAACACAACGCAACGCAACACAACACAACACACACACACACAACACACCCAACACACACAGGACACACACACACAGGACACACACACACAGGACACACACACACAACACACAACACACACACACAACACAACACAACACAACACAACACAACACAACACAACACAACACAACACAACACAACACAACACAACACAACACAACACAACACACAACACACAACACACAACACACAACACACAACACACAACACACACACACACAACACACAACACACACACACACGACACACTCACACACGACACACACATCACACAACACAACACAAAACACACACACACACAACACACAACACACAACACAACACACACACACACAAAACACAACACACAACATGCATCACAAGACACACACACAACACACACACAACGCACAATAACGCAATGGCACAATCCGCCAAGCAAACAACAGTGCAACTTCCAAACAATACACGCACACACACGCACCCGCACACACACACACACCCACCCACCCACCCACCCACCAACCCACCCACCCACCCACCCACCCACCCACGCACGCACGCACGCACGCACGCACCCATCCACACACACACACACACACACACACACA